GTGCAAATCCAGCCCGTGGCGGCAACCTCAACGCCAGGAACACTACGAAGAAACATACCGAATGAAACATGTGACAGACTCAGAAATGAATGACAGTACCCCCTACGATTTACAGACAGCCGTCAACTGCCAGCTGTGTTGCATCGTGTTCCAGTTGTGGCAAGAGTTCGTGTTAAAGGAGTTCCTTTTGAAATTAAGCCTGCCACGGAAAGCGAGCCCTTAAGTCCTGCTGCTATAGTGAAGCATTGTTTATGTAGTACGGAACGGGACGCAGCTAGGGCTAGGAGGGTCTGTTCGTAGACAGGCTAGAGATGTGCAAAGAATACTAGTCATACCTCACTACATGCCAATGCCAAAACCAGATTGAAATCAACAATTCAGGTACTTAATTCGAGAACTTGACAAACTGAAGTTAGGGGCACACGGTATTGCTCAAAATTACGTCATTAACTTTTCTTTTGTGCCACAAACATCGCATAACCCGTTTCTTACTTTCGTCAATGTTGATTTATTGGCATAGTAAATTACACATGAACATGATAATATGTGTGCGGTCATATTTTCACCTTGAACCGTGTGTATAACCAGAACAAGTCCATTGTAGTCATAGTTTTACAACGTTTTTGCTATAAGGCAGCGGTTACTGTATCGCTGAAGAAACAGTTCCTCTCCAAAAGCAGATCTGCCTCTGCCTGGTTCCTTCAGGTTGCTGCTGTACGTGCTTCTGCTCCCATGCAAGAACTCGAGGGCTGATTTATACTCAATCAGTTTGAACGTACTTGCATACCAACAAATAAGAACAACAACTTATTCACATATTAATAACCTTCACTTCATAGCAAATTTCAAAGCTACAAACCTTGCGAAAAAGGATAAAGAAGCGCGTCGCCTTTAGTAAAATTCGATTTCATCTGAGATTTATTTTGTTATTTCATATACATTCATAAAAAAACAATTTTATCCGTCAATAGCTCAGCCTGTAATCATCATTCTCGTCTCTGAGGATAGATGTCATGAAGAAATTATAGCCGACATTCTTCCGGAAATCAAGCATTTGTCACTCGTGACATGACTTGGTACCGGAAGTGCCCGTTACTGCCTATTTGGGATGCGGAAAGGAGAACGACCTTTGGATACCAAGGTTATCTGCGAGTAACAGCATTCCTGTGAACAGCAGTCGCTGAAAACGAGCGGCAGAATTAATAGGGCATGGCATAAGTTGAACGAAGATTCCGTGTCATCGCGAGAATATATGGCCATTATAATCGTACTGCAGGGGGCACTAATACTCTTGACTGGAAATATTAAACTTTATGCAAGAGAACACCGAAAATAAACCATCCTAAAATTGTGACATGAGAAGTCTGTAGAAAAACCATACTGCATCGTTCTATGCGCGAGAGAACAAGGTACATGTTTGCCCCTTTGGCAGGGGGGAAATAACTGGAAAAATGTAATACAGTATCCTTCACTTGTTGAGGTCGAAGGAAACAACTGCCTGGAAGACATGGTACTAGTCTACGCGTCCGAGCTCTTCGCAAGTGCAACTCGAGATATTTCGAAGCTACAGACATCCGCTGAAGTGACTGTCTTAGTACTCGTAGAATCCCAGGACAGAAGGTGACGAATTTTTAAACGAATTCCTGGACGCATGTCGAGGTCTAGAGTCAATAAACACGTGCTTCAACCGCAGAATTCGGCCTACCTCAGAATGCCATTCTGCAAGCTAGTCTTTCCAGTTAATTTTTTTTATAACATATCTTCTGTGCACGAAGTCAGAACATTCTTCCCCGAGTTGTTACATCAGGAGTATGCTTTGATCAGCTACGTGGTAGGAGCATTCTGGCATGAAAATGCCGTTTTCTTCTGCAGTAACCTTTCGACCCATCAACAGCAGTGTGATTGCCATCGACTCCATGCCAGCTGTCCTATCTGCATCAGGGGACCAAAATGCACATGCGTTCAAGCGATTTTCTCAGAATATTTGTTCATCTGCTACCTCCCGAGACTGATCGTCGTTTAGTTCGGGTTTAGCCCGCCGGCGGTAGTGCCTCACTTACACTTTCGTCGCTTCGTCGTCCAAAGCCTAGCGAGAAAAAGGAAAAGTAATGAATACCGCGACGCGCTTCAAAAACTTCAGTCTGGCAAAGTTGCCTGAGTCAATGAAAGTCGCTTGCACTGAGGGAAAACGGAAAGACGAGGAGGAACGCCAGACCGGAAACTGGAAACAGCCGTTTGGCCGAACATCTACTGAACAGAACGGTTGATTGATGGACAGCATTGACGGGCGTCGGCCAATTTCACAAGGTCGCATTTCAGTCCTCGCCTTGTGACTACTCTTGAACCGTGCTCGAACAACGGCTGATGGCTGGAATGATCTCGTTCGTACCGTCGGCAGCCTTTGTCCCGTGCGCCAGGGCTTCGAGTCAAAAGCAACCACACAAGCCAGTGGATCCTTTCATCAGCGTACGAAGAAAGAGATGTGTTCGAACAATGATTCCAGGCAAGATCATTTGTCTAAGCTGGTTCTCTGAGACTCCTAAACCCTAAGTCAGTTCTTGTTGAATCACTAGCCAAGCATTTATGCCCCTACAGAATTGACTGACTTGAGCAAGAACGATGCCATAATACGCAATATGCTTTCTTTAATTTCATAGCGATTGGTGAGGACAGACATGTTAACGGTTCGGTTCTGTTCTGAGGTAAATTCTGTGCCGAGAAATACAGACAGTTCAACAACCTTCAGATGTGCGGGTTAGACTCGAAAGAGGTAGATAAAATGAAGGATATACATTAGATGAGGTTGCAGCGGTTTAACTAGAGGCACTAATGGGTGAAGCATACCGTAAGATGTAAGGTGTGATAATCGCACGGTAATATTTTGAGCGCATCACCGATCCATCATCCGACTTGTCCAAATTTATACTGGTGCCACAGTCGCCATTCAACGAACATTTTTGTGTTTTTCTTTGTTGGTCGGTTTTTCGGCACTGCATTCGCCAGTTGCTTGAACTATAGCCAGCCAATGTGGTCGAAACCTTATCCAAATCAACATGCTTGCAGAAGTGAAGTAATTTATAAACTTTAGGTCACCAATAGATGTCAACGGTGAGTGGCGAGCAGCGGTTTCTTCGATGATGCCGACGGAATCTGACCGTTGTGGAGCTTGAATTTTTTTCGGCTGAGTGTTGCTCAGTTCCAGTGGTCTTTTCACACTGCTCTTTGACTTAGTTATGAGCGAGGTCTTGCCTTCCTCCCTGGCGATTTATTACCGCATACCGTTTGCTGGCATGAAATTAATTGACTAAACAGACGCCTCCTCTAAGGGGCATTAATTATCCAGTCACGTGACAATGTCAGCCGAGACAGAGGATACGAACTTTGTGCGATTTCGATAAGCCTTGTGGCAGATTGTCGAAAAACAAACTAACCAGCAATATGCATCATAGGCTCACATTTTCTGTCCAAACAGAACAGTGGACGAACTTTGTAAACTAATCGTGTCCACCTTGAAAAAAGCCCACGAGACATAAGCCAGAAACTCTATACTGGTTAATTACATGATTGACCGAATTATTTGCATTGTTTATGAATAAATCGTTTTTAATACAGTACACGGAATGGTCACAAACAAAGAGGTAAATAATCTATCTTTAAATACGATTTATTTATACACTACGCAAAGAAATATGGTCATTCGAATCATTCACCAATACCAATCATCAATCATCCGGCCGACCGTAGTTTTTTTATTATGTTGTTCCTGCAGATCGTGTTTAAAGGTGTTTTTCAGCGTGTGCAAGAATGCGAAACGAAATATTCTATAAGCATAAGCTGATTATGGTAACATTTTGTTCAAAGTTATCATGTTGTACACTTTTATTATGCTAAGGAACAAAAATCATATGCGATTTCCATTTATTAGGTAAATAACTCATTGATTCATAATGCAGAATGAACTTGAAAACGAACTTCCGCTATAGGGAAACGTTTACACAATTGGAACGATATGGAGTTTTGCGTTTTTCGGAAGAGGCGTCAGGTGACGCGATTCTCACCGCAACGAAAGAGCTCGACACTCAATAATGTATCATAAGTGTCTTGTATTTATGTAGCGCGGAATAATCCAGACAGGGGACGTCTTGTTCTACGATAATTGGTGGTTTATGTCTTCTTTCTGTCAGTTGCCCGTATGATCGTAATTACCCGTGATTTTCAGGTATGGATAAACGAATATGGAACGACGACCCACAAACAAGAGGAACCGAGGTGAAAGAAGAGTCGAATATTAGGTCATTTGTCGGAGGTCGTGAAACTCAGGAATATGACAACTACGTGCGAAACCTGTTTTCGCCAGGCCACAGCGCCCCCGGCTACAAGAAGACGTTCAACGACCGGTTCAGCTCGTACGAACAGGAGATCAGCGGTCTGCCACAGCATTTGCAGCTGAAGGCTGAGAACGTGGCTGACTCCCTTTTCGAGAGGCAACGAAACGAGCGACTGGCGAAGGTGCCGCATTCCTCGTCGAAGGTGTTCGACAACAGGAACCCCCTTTACTACAGATCGGCCGATTTTCTGGGGACCGGGGACTGGGACGACGCCCTGTTCGACTATGACAAAAAGAAGAGAGACAGAGAGCGCAAAACACCGCTCATCATGCGTTACACAAGCTCGTCGAATGCCATCGGCTCGTCGTACGCGAAGCCGGTTTACGACCATCTACATATGAACGACTCGCGCATCGTCGGCTCTGACTTCGTCATGCTGAACCTCCGAAGGTACGACTCCCTTTTTGAGAAAATCGACAAGGCCTTGGACGACGCGAAGAAGGTGAACTCCTGGTCGTGAGTGCCGTTACTCACTGGTGCGGCAAGATAACTCGTGTTCCGGCTAGCAATCGTCAGACACTTCGGATTAGCCGTAGTATATGTTATATCTGTTTTTTATTCGTTGTCACTCATCCCGCCGAAACTGTTGCAAACTTACATGTCTATGATGAAAAATTTTCAAACTAAGCGACTATTTAACGACGTCAGCAAACAGTGGGGTTACTAAATATAAGGATCTAGTCGGTTTAATAATTATGCTGATGAGCTAACATTGCCATTAGTGAAATCGATCAGTTTCAAGTGTTTAATCATTTTAGCTTCTTTCTGAACTACCATTGCTTCAGGTGCACGTCCACATGAACCTCATAAAAACCTCAGCATGCACGCAAGGCTTTGCAGTGGTAAAGTAGCAGTTTTGCACGTGCTCTTAATCAACCTTCAACGGCCTTGCAGCATGGGTGTGCTGCAGTGGTTGAGGTAGTTGTGTCTCAGCGATTTGAAAATTAGCCGTCATGTGGTGACAAAAACTCAGTACTGTAATGACAAGGAGTTAATTCGAAAACGTTGCACTGAGTGTATAGATCATAATCAGCTTTAGCAGGGTAATGTCCAAGTGTCTGACAATTTTGAATTTTCTTCCAAAAAAAAGAGCTACCCCCTCCAATAGGACCTATTTAGTGACCTATTTACTGAATTATTTAATGACCTTTTTCTAACCTATTTACTGACCTATTTAGTGACCTATTTACTGACCCATTTAGTGA